TTTTGCAATGGGTAGCCAATTCAGGACAAGACAAAAAAGGACAATTCTTACTTCTATCTGACCTACTTATGTCAATGTGTCACCTGAATAAACAGTGCCACCTGAAGAAACAGTGCCACCTAAGTGATAACTCTGCACCTGTTATCTTTACCCCACTAACTTTACTCCAACCTGCTTAATCAAAGGTCTCCAGTAGGAATAAAGGACACTTCAGAATCCTAAAGAGTCATCGTCTTCTCTGGTCTTAGGCAGGGAACTACAGTGGAGGGAATGAGGGGATTTTAACAGTTCTCTCCCAAGTGTAGCTAAGACTCGGTACCAACTGTGCTTCAGTAAATACTAGGAGAACCAGGGCCTCTGAGAAGGAACCTGAGAAACTAGATGCTTAGGGCTGGCTGTAGCCCAGGCTCTGAAGGCTGGTGTGAATTTGACAAGTGAGTATCTTACACAGACAAGCCAGCCACTAGGGAGGGAAAAAAAAGATAGAGATTATGAAAAAGGACATGGACACTTTGACAAATATGCTTCTGAATGGAGTACCTCACCAGTTGGGTGTCTCAGAAATCCAAGTGATGCAGCCTAATACGGGTACAGATCTGAGCACATGAAAAATGAACAAATGCTTAAGAGCTACAGGGCAAGATCCAGAGAAGAAGGCAAAGGACAGAGGAAGACTGAATTGAATCATATTTATTTGAACACTGATTATAAGGGTTGTGGCCTACATAGACTCTTTAAAGAGGGGGAATGTACATTGGAATTATACTGCCTGGGTTTGGGTACCTGCTTTACCACTTACTAGCTATAGAGCAGGTTCTTAAGCACTCTGTGCCTTAGTTTCCTATCCTCCCTATAGTACAGAGATAATAACAGCACAAACTTCAGAGAGCTCATGAGGATTAAGAGAGTTAAAATATGTAAAGTACTTAGAACATTTCCTGGCACCTGTCTTTCCTTTCAGTTACTAGTACTTTTACCCTAACCTTTGCAAAACGATTAACAATAACAAAGATAAAACTAAGGCTAATCTATTTTCCCTCTTGTCAATCAGAGGTGGCAAAGTTTGATGAATTTCAACTTAAATATATGAGACTTGAGCTACCTCATATTATGTTCATATTATCACTGTCCACCATTTCCATGAATAATTTAGAATTGATTGCTTAACACTTTTGGAAACAAAAATATTTGAAGTAGAAAACTAACAGATGGGTAGAGCTATTCTGAATAAACACAAGGGGAGAAAGAATTAAAAAGCTACTATACTTATACCACAAATAAGAAATTCGTATTAGAAGTCAAAAGGCAAAGAAAGAATATTATCCCCATAACTGAATTTAAAATGTAATTAGAACCCTTATATGTATACAATATTGAATATTAAAAAAATAAAAAACCTAAGCAGTTATGCTAAAGCATTCAATAACACAAAAATAAGTCAAAAGGATAAAAATGGAAATGACTGTTAATTCTATGTAGTCTGAAAATTTTCAAACACATACAGAGAAAAAGTATAAGTAGAAGTCAACAATTTAGTAGGTCAAAGAATAGGAAAGAAAATAGAATTGAAAGAGTTAATACTGTTCATTTTTCTAAAATATAACCTAGAATTAGAAAAAAGTGCTTAGTTTTAAAGAAGAAAGCTATAAACTTAAAACTTTAAATTTCAGTTGACTTTACTTCTAAATAATGTAATCTTTACATAATATAACTAAAATGGAAAGCGTGAGAGAGTGGCCCAGGCTGGGGTGGTTCAGTGGACTGAGTGCCAGACTGTGAAGCAAAGGGCTGCCGGTTCGATTCCCAGTCGGGGCACATGCCTGTGTTGCGGCCTAGGTCCCCAGTAGGGGGTGTGTGAGAGGTAACCACACACTGATGTTTCTTTCACTTCCTCCCTTGCCCTCTCTCTAAAAACCAATAAATAAAATCTTTAAAAGAAAAAAAGAAAGAGTGAGAGTAAATGGTTCAAGAATGAGGGCCTGAACTAATGTCCTGGTGATATTCAATAAGTAGACAAGCCACTGATCTGTATAAGGGTCATGAAGAACACTAAATGGGGACCTACTGTTTAAAAGGTAGAAGGCAGAGTAGTTACCCTGGAAAAGTTTTTGTGAGTAGTCTGACTTTTGTCTTGGATACAATACTTGCAAATATAATTATGATATTGATTTAAGAACACTCAAAGTAAAGGATTGCATAATAGAACGTATTTGCAAGGCAGAGATCTTGCTATGCTGACACAATAGCTCTTTTGAGATAACAAAGTGGATAAAGGGAGCCAGGCAGATAACATCTATCTGCATTTTAGCAATGCTTTCAACTCTCTGCTGCATATCAGCTCAGCATGCTGAGAAATTAAGAGATGAACTGTATTAATGATGGGATAGAGTTAATTACTAGTGGCTTCTAGATTGGAAATAAAAGATTATTATTCTTTCATATGCAGAAATATATACATATACACATACAGATGTATCTCAGGTTTCAACTGCAGCTAGATTAATTACATAAAGCAAAATAAATGTAGCTTATACATTAATCATTTTCAGAAAAGTTAATTTGATAGCATTCAAGTTTCGAGGCAACCCATAAGAAAAAAATTTTAGAAGCAAACAACAACAAAGAATATAGCTAGTGTTTTATTTTTATGCTTTCCTACAAACTATAACCAAAGGAAAACTGAACAAAATGCATGTTTTATCTTTTAAAATTTGTGTCATTAGATTATTTTACTAGTAGAATTTTCCTTCAGCATTTGTGGTAATAATTTTCTTCCTCCTCTTCTTCTTTTCTTTCTTCTCCTTCCCCTTCTTCTTCTTCTTCTTCTTTTGGATGTACAGGAAATTCTGAGCTCAGGTAAAGACTTTAATAAATCCATACTGGCAAATATTGTAGTATTTTGAAATTCCTTGATTTCTTTTTTAATGGCTATAATTCTTTTCAGAAAAGACTAATGGGTATGGTCCTTAGAAAAGGGTTACACTTTCAATTAGGTTATTTGGAATCAACTACAAAGTGAGATAATTTACTTAATCATGGATTTAAAAGAATGAAGGGCCAACTGGTCATTCATTCATTCACTCATTCATGCAATAATCAAGAAACTAAGTATCTACTCTGTGCTAGGCATTGTGGATACTAAACCTATGTAATCCTAGAGTATATATGCTCGTTAGGATGACTTTTAAAGATGCTAATTAAAACAGCTAATGATTGGAGGGATGTGCTTTTCCAACATTCTCAGGCGCTGAACTGGAAAAGTTACTGTAAATCACAGACTAAGAGCAAGGTCAGTAACACTTAGTGGAGGTCTAAATGAAAGAATATTTTCAGGAGTTACAATATAACATTCAAGTATTTATAGTTATTTTAGAAATTCTTAATAAAATATCCTTTTAAAGATGTTTAGAACCAATTAAATGAAAAAAGGAGACTATTAGAAATAATGATTGTCAACATGTAAATGAAGGATTCAGAAGTGTTTATACAATTTTTTTTACTAGGGCATGCATTCATATCACACACTCTTCAAAATAGTAAGGCACACAGAAATTTCAATATCTGTAGTTATCCTATCAGTGCTGTCCTTTTCAACTGATTACGACTCCAATTAAGATTTGAATTAATGGTATTAGACTAATAACTACCACGAAATATATTGTGTCGGCTGGTAATATGTACTGCACTTATAACTTACAGTACCACAGTGTTTTATAAGGGCTATTTTGTTATTAATTAGTTACATTGATCAGAATACCACATAACACAGGAGCACTCAAATATTATAATTTGTTTAGATTATTTTGAATCTAGTATTGTATCTATTTGTACTATGGGTGACCATAAGCATAGCTGAAGTCAGATAGCTTGCTTCCACTCACAAAGCCAAAATGTGCACTTCAGAAAGCCAAAAGAAGACCCCTACGTAGGATTTTTGCCATTGGAATTCACTTGTTTTCTAAACTTACCATAAAGTGAGGACTTATGGGGGTCAAATAAGGTAAGAACACTATATATTTATATCTATAAATTAGTTCACATTTAGTTTGAATCTACGCATTTGTAGAGTTCTGCCACCTAAATCTACACAGGTTTGTTTTTTTCTCTCCCTTTCTGATTTGCTTTGGGGGCACGGTTCTCATGGAGTGCTGCTTTTAATCATTCTAACCCATCATACTCAAACATTTTAGGTTCGGCTGGGTCTCAGCTCGCAACTGGAAGTTGGGAATAAAAAGAAAAAGGAAATTTTTTTTCCTTCTGGCTGTCACAGTAAAAGATATGTACTGTGGCAACAATTTCAATTTTCAGATTGAGTACAGCACTCAAAGCCAATATTTGGAGTACGCTATCAAGCTTCAACTTCTTGAAAGCTCACAGAGGAAATAGTTACTCTGCTAATTAGCCAGCAAAGTGACATGATTGCCAGTACAAGTGAAACGTCAACTTAACTGACTGAGAAAGATTTGCCTGGATCTTGCTTTAAGCGCTGTAATTTAGAAAGTATATGTATAAAGCTTCTGTGAAGGAAAAAACACAAATTTTCACTCATATAAATCAGAGCAAGCAAAAGGGGAAATAAAAATTTTTAGGGGAGATAAAAATGTGTTAGAGTTCTTTGCATAATATCTTTGGGTGGTGGCATCAATATTATTAAAAGAAAATACTTAATTGATTTTAATAATTTGTTAACTATAAAGATAAAAGTCAGAAGGAAACAAACCAACACTAGTTCTACTTTATAATTTTGTATCTTCCTAGTTTCTCCAGAATATGTACTACGATGTTTAAAAACCAATGCTTATGTTAGCAAACATTAATTAGTGTCTAAGACACTGAATATAGTGTGATATTGTGTCATAGTTTAGGTTCATGAAATAGCATGAGGTACCCCCTAATTTGATTAAATCCTATGGTTTATTCAGGGAATGAAGAGAATCATGCCAAATAGTGACCCCTCACTACAGTGAATGCTTTGAAACAAAATGAGGATATGCCTTTACCTTCCTCCTTTCTTCTCTTTGCTTCTTCTTCATTTTTTTCCTTGGCTTTCAATGCTTCATCAGCTTTCG